CATAGCCTAGAGCAAAAACTTAAAGAAAAAAAAGAGAGAGAGAAAGAGAGACATGATCAGAGTAAGAAAAACAAGATCTCACTGTGTTGTCTTCAAGAAACCCACAAAGAGACACAGAGAATTAAAAGTAAAGGGATGGACAAAGACATACCATGTTCATACTGATCAAAAGAAAGCTTGGGGACCAGCAGTTGGCATATTAGCTATTTCGCTGGACTCCCATATAGTCGACTGAGGTTCGAGTCCCGGACCCGGTGGCTTAAATTCACGTCAGGCACATGTGCATGCGTGCCCAAGATCCCGAGAGGAGAATGCAGGAGAAGGGATTGTGGTGTGGCCATCCCCTTGGGGGGGGTGATTTCTCACTTTCTATCTCTCTCTGTCTTTCTGGAAAGCGCACACACCCTATAGCAAAAAACTCTCAAAAACGAAAGAAAGAAAGCGAGCGAAAGTTTGAGTAGCTACATTAATTTCAGACAAATCAGACTTAGGAGCAAGGAAAATTATCAACGATGAAGAGTACATTATATAATAATAAAGGAGTCAGTTCTCCAAAAGACATTATATATATATATATATGCCTAACATCAGAGCATCAAAATGCATACAGAACTACAAGGAGTCCTGAAAGGAGAAACAGGCAAATCCACTATGATATTTGAAATGTCAACACCCTTCTATCAACAAGTGACAGATCTAGCAGCCAGAAAATTAGAAATCTAAATATACTTGGATCTAGCACCATCAATCAACTGAATCTAATTGACATTTATAGACACTTCATCCAAGGACAAAAAAAACCCGTACATTTCTTTTAAGCTCACATATAACATGTAAGACAGGCCACACTATGAACCACAAAACACACCCTAACAAATCTAAAAGAATAATCACACAAAATATGCTCTCAGACCACAGTAGAATTAAACTAGAAAATCTCAGTATTTGTAAATCAAACAACACGCTTCTAAATAACACATTAGTCAAAGAGAAATTCTTGGGGCCAGCCCATTGCCTGGTGATTAAGGTGGCTGGATCCCATATGGCTAACTGCACATTCTAGTCCTGGATCCAGCAGCTTGGGAAAACATACCAGGCATGTGAGTGCATGCCCAAGATCCCAACAACTTTGCTGGCCCTTGTAGCTAACAACCATGTGGTTCTTTTTGCTCTAGGCCTTTGCCTGTTAAGTTCATTCACTTAACCAAGAAACAAATCACAACAAACCTGAAGCCTAATTCTTAATTTGTGCCTTGAATCTTTGTCTTGGCCTGTCTAACCTGGATCACCCTGAACAGGTGATCCTTGGGTAGGGAGTAGAGGGGCCTGACAAAGTCCTGCCTTCCATACCCTAACAGATATCCCTGCCCACATCCCATGTGTATGATGCTTACTTTATACACAAAGTAGACTGAGGACAGAAGGGAGAATGGGTACAATATACACTGACTGATACACTACTGGATTTCAGTAACTGCAGTCCATTGCCTTCCATTGCTTTCCAGTGTAGACCTCAGACCTAAGTCCTCACACCTCAACCGCATCTGCCCCAGAACTCAGAAACTTTAAAAGATCCTGAAGAAAGACTTTTTATTAAGGCTATGCTTTAAAGAATGCAATTTCATGGGACCAGCAGGTGGCATGGTAGTTAAGGTGCTGGAGTACCACCGGGCTGACTGTGATTTTGTGGGGACACGTTTAAGAGAGAGAGTCTGAGGTGTGGGGACATGCGCTGAGCAAACACCCCATGCTCTTTTGGGGTTTGGCAGATCTTTGTAACTTGTCTTTCCTTAACCTTGGTGGCAGACAGAGCAAGGGTGGAAATTACTAGGGGCACATCTGATGGACTTCAAGAAACATCTTGACCCCAATTAGTAAAGTCCAATCCCTGCTCTGCATCTGAAAGGTTCTTTAGCCTACTCTGGGTGTGGTGGTACACTCCTTATGGAGAAGTTCTTTAGCTCCTTCCCCACACCTAACAGCTAGTTCTCTGCATTAGAAAGGAAGATGAGATTTACTCTAGATGGGATTACCACCAAGGGATACACCTTGCCCAGGGTATGACTAATCCCTTATAGATTTGTTAACTGCTTCTCATTGTCTGTAACCTGGCAACTAATCCATGAAGTGTCATGAAACATATATGTGTAATGTCTCCTTGTACTATAAATAAAGACATCCAGTTCATCTAGGCCGCACAGGTTGCTTGGGCTATCTAGGCTCAGGCTGCCTGTGCCCATTCCCACTCTATCCTTTTGTCTCATCTTTTCTGCTTCTTCCATAATAGCGCCAAGCCTTGGGGTGGACGCCGACAGATTTGAGTCCCCCAGCAGCTTTGCGTAGGTGTGTGCATTTATGCATGCGTGCCCATAATCCTAGCTGGAGAATGAAGGAGAAGGGATTGCAGTGTGGTCATGCCTCTGGTGTGATTTCTCACTTTCCCTCTCACTGTCTGACTATCTCCCTCCAGCGAATGCATGCACCCTCTAGCAAAGACCTAATTAAAAAAAAAAAAGTGTCGTTCTCACAATAATTACGATTAGCTGGTATCTTTTACACAAAGAGCATTTGCTAAAAGTGGCATGATGAGTTAAATTTCTGCCAAAAGACCAACTAGTTCTTAAATTGTTAAAACACTAAGAAGTCGTCAAGCTGCTGTGACACCAGAGTATATCTGGTGGGCGGTTATTAAGAATCACATTTTCATAAGCTTGAAAAGATTTAAGATGATGAAGTTTCTATGATCTCAAATAAACACTTTGCAAAAAATATTTGATAGCCTAAAACAATAACAAAACACAAATAAGCAATTGTGTACAAAATAATTTATTACAGTATTATCTAAGTTGGGATTATCTTACAGTTTTTCCCTCTCAACAACTGTGAATCTAGATTACAGTAAAGGAATACTATTTCAATTAGAACTGTTTGTCTAAATAAAATACCGCTTTTTGAATTTGTATTTGCCTTAAAGGGAAGCATTAATATTACAGACATATTTACATAGTTCTGAAACACATTAGGTGATTCCATTACTGTTTTCTGTACAAGAGAGAACAAAAGCTATATCCCGCCCCCCAAAATGGTACTGTTCAACAATACTATGTTTCAATGGTTAAACTAATGACAGATAATTCCTCATTTTGTGACAGAAAAATGCATTTAATAGTAAATGTGTGGCTATAAAAGTAAATGCTTGATTTTAATTTGCATTTGGCCCTATTATACACTCTTGAAGAGCACCTCTCAGTATAAACTACCTGTTGACGCTAAAAGCAACTTAGGCAAATAAGCAGAATTATTACCTGTGGGTCTTTAAAACCAGTATAAATGGATATGCAACAAATATATGAGTAAATTTTCATAAGAGGCAAGCAATCTTCACATTCTAAATCACCTATGTAAAACTGGAGTACCCTTATTCAACCAAAAAGAATCGTGTCCATGATATTACAAAGGAAGAAGTAAATCAAGAAGAATTAAGTGAAAAAAAAAGAGCAAATTAAAATAAACCTCAACATCTGCCAAGAAAAATTCCATACTCTTTTTAGAATATAGTTAACACTGAAACTGATGTGCTTTACTTAAAAAGCAAGCAAATAAACAACAAAACAAACCAACTGCAACGTAGACTGTGAAACGAAGATCCAAATAAAATAAAACTGTGGGGCTACACACAACTTAGTGTCATAAGAAATTACCATAATTATGATACAGAAGTGCAGCTACCACAATGCTGATAATTTGGGAGTTTAAGAAAAACTGCAGAATTAGAAACAGGCAATTTTAACACAAACATGTTTAAGTAAATGGCAGAGTCAGTTAGAGAATAAAACAAACTTACAGAATACTCCATCTAAAAATTCTATCCAAATATTTCATACCTAAATTAAAATACACTCTGGAAAAAGAAACCCTGATCTGAATTCAGCTTTCAGTCTGCAGGAGCCAACTTTCTATGAGATTTCAAATTTCATTTGCTGAGACACCATAGTTGGCTCTGTGGTTCAGTGCCACACCAGGACCGTGGACTTCACTCACAACAGGCAGGAAAGCAGATGTGAAAGGAAGCAGGTTATGACAGGCCATCCTGTATTCTTCATATTGGGAACCACAGTTCCCAAAGCTGCCATCAAGCAGTGCCTCAGAAACCTTCATTAAAGTCTAGAGAAACAAGGGAGAAATACAAATGACTTCTTTATAAAAGCTCTAATCACCTTAATTGAAAGATGCAATTTGTAAATTAAACCACAGAAGGTAAGCAAGGCCCCAAGTCTAACTTCTTGCTATCTCCAGTAAGTAATCACCTAAGAAAAAGAATATTAAAATAAATTCTACAAATAGTTAAAATGAAAGCAATAAAATTCTAGTATATATTTGAAAACAGAGAACTTCTAAAACTGTGATCACTAACGATGAACGTCTCCTTTACTGAAAACAGACCACGTACAGCAAGTGCTCACCACGTGCTAGGCACCAGGAACTTCGTACTTGATTATCTTAGCTAACTTTTATACTAATTCTATGAGATAGGCAGTATTTGAATTCCTGTCTTAAAAATGAGGAAAAGAAGCTAAAAGTGATAAAGTTACATGGCTTATCCAGGTATAACTCTGAAGGCTCATTATGTTGTGGGGGGGCCAGCAGGTGGCATGGTGGTTAAGGCACTGGACTCCCACATGGCTTGCTTTCTCACTTTCCCTTTTTCTCTCTGTCTCTGGTCAAATTAAATAATAATAATAATAATAAAATTTTAAAATCAGTATTATTTTAAAAAGAAAAGAATTATGTTGTAGGTCCAGCAGGTGGCGTGGTGCTTAAGCGCACGGGACTCCTACATGGCTAACTATGGTTCAAGTCCTGGACCTGGTGGCTTGCTTTCTCACTTTCCCTCTTTCTATCTCACTCTCTGTTCCTCTCTGGTCAAATATACATACATACATACATAAATGTAAAATTCTTTTTTTAAAGTAAAAAGGAATTACGTTGTGGCTCCTCATTTTGTGACAGAAAAATGCATTTAATAGTAAATGTGTGGCTATAAAAGTAAATGCTTGATTTTAATTTGCATTTGGCCCTATTATACACTCTTGAAGAGCACCTCTCAGTATAAACTACCTGTTGACGCTAAAAGCAACTTAGGCAAATAAGCAGAATTATTACCTGTGGGTCTTTAAAACCAGTATAAATGGATATGCAACAAATATATGAGTAAATTTTCATAAGAGGCAAGCAATCTTCACATTCTAAATCACCTATGTAAAACTGGAGTACCCTTATTCAACCAAAAAGAATCGTGTCCATGATATTACAAAGGAAGAAGTAAATCAAGAAGAATTAAGTGAAAAAAAAAGAGCAAATTAAAATAAACCTCAACATCTGCCAAGAAAAATTCCATACTCTTTTTAGAATATAGTTAACACTGAAACTGATGTGCTTTACTTAAAAAGCAAGCAAATAAACAACAAAACAAACCAACTGCAACGTAGACTGTGAAACGAAGATCCAAATAAAATAAAACTGTGGGGCTACACACAACTTAGTGTCATAAGAAATTACCATAATTATGATACAGAAGTGCAGCTACCACAATGCTGATAATTTGGGAGTTTAAGAAAAACTGCAGAATTAGAAACAGGCAATTTTAACACAAACATGTTTAAGTAAATGGCAGAGTCAGTTAGAGAATAAAACAAACTTACAGAATACTCCATCTAAAAATTCTATCCAAATATTTCATACCTAAATTAAAATACACTCTGGAAAAAGAAACCCTGATCTGAATTCAGCTTTCAGTCTGCAGGAGCCAACTTTCTATGAGATTTCAAATTTCATTTGCTGAGACACCATAGTTGGCTCTGTGGTTCAGTGCCACACCAGGACCGTGGACTTCACTCACAACAGGCAGGAAAGCAGATGTGAAAGGAAGCAGGTTATGACAGGCCATCCTGTATTCTTCATATTGGGAACCACAGTTCCCAAAGCTGCCATCAAGCAGTGCCTCAGAAACCTTCATTAAAGTCTAGAGAAACAAGGGAGAAATACAAATGACTTCTTTATAAAAGCTCTAATCACCTTAATTGAAAGATGCAATTTGTAAATTAAACCACAGAAGGTAAGCAAGGCCCCAAGTCTAACTTCTTGCTATCTCCAGTAAGTAATCACCTAAGAAAAAGAATATTAAAATAAATTCTACAAATAGTTAAAATGAAAGCAATAAAATTCTAGTATATATTTGAAAACAGAGAACTTCTAAAACTGTGATCACTAACGATGAACGTCTCCTTTACTGAAAACAGACCACGTACAGCAAGTGCTCACCACGTGCTAGGCACCAGGAACTTCGTACTTGATTATCTTAGCTAACTTTTATACTAATTCTATGAGATAGGCAGTATTTGAATTCCTGTCTTAAAAATGAGGAAAAGAAGCTAAAAGTGATAAAGTTACATGGCTTATCCAGGTATAACTCTGAAGGCTCATTATGTTGTGGGGGGGCCAGCAGGTGGCATGGTGGTTAAGGCACTGGACTCCCACATGGCTTGCTTTCTCACTTTCCCTTTTTCTCTCTGTCTCTGGTCAAATTAAATAATAATAATAATAATAATAAAATTTTAAAATCAGTATTATTTTAAAAAGAAAAGAATTATGTTGTAGGTCCAGCAGGTGGCGTGGTGCTTAAGCGCACGGGACTCCTACATGGCTAACTATGGTTCAAGTCCTGGACCTGGTGGCTTGCTTTCTCACTTTCCCTCTTTCTATCTCACTCTCTGTTCCTCTCTGGTCAAATATACATACATACATACATAAATGTAAAATTCTTTTTTTAAAGTAAAAAGGAATTACGTTGTGGCCCAGTCATGGTGGCACAGGTGGTAGGGCTCCACTCTGCAGTGGAAGAGCCACATAGAAGACTGTGGTTCAGATCCTAACAGAACAGGAACAGCCATGATTCATGGCTGGTGGGAAAGGTAAGGTGTGGGGAGATCACAACATGAGAAGCCCCTGTCCAGGGAGCCCACATCACCCTCCCCAATACAAAAGTAAACTTTTAAAAAAAATTATGGCATGAAGATGTTTTGTTGCTCACCCAGTAGCTATAAATGGTTCAATGAAAAATTTTACCTTTACATTTTTATCTTTTATAGTTTCGTCCAGTCTAGTGGCTATAGCAATTGCTTTCTCTTGCCTTGATTTATCCAGAAAATACATCATTTTAGCACCTAAAATACCAAGATATTTAAAAATGAATAAACTCCTATGTTGGGGCCAGCAGATGGCATAGCAATTACATCACTGGCTCTCACATGGCAGACCACAGTTCAAGTCCCAGACTCAGTGGCTTGCAAATAACGCTGGCCGTGTGTGTGTGTGTGTGTGTGTGTGTGTGTTTGCCTAAAATCCTGGGAGAAGAATGAAGGAGAAGAGATTGTGGCGCATGGCCATGCCCCCCATCCAGGGGGTGATTTCTCACTTTCCCTCTCACTGCCTCTGTCTCAGTCTCTAGTGAGCACATACACCCTAAGGCAAAAACCTTTAAAAAAAAAAAAACAAAAAAAAACACCTAACTCCTATGTCTTATATTGGGTGGTCAGAAAAGTCATGGTGTATTTTTTTCTGTTTTTCTATGCAAAAATGTGTCATGACTTCTCAGATGGCCCAACATTTTACCTGGTTTATACTGACCAGTGACTTAAAATATGATTTCAGGTGCTTAGTCAGTGGTGGGCTAGCGCTGCTCCCACCAGCTCTCAGGAGCCAATGACGACATCTCTTCCTGATTTCCTACGTAGCGATATCTCAAGCGACAGCTTCAGGTCATAATGGGAATATTTTTGTCATGACAAAACCTACTAATTAGGACTTTTCCATCATAAAATGGCAGTTATTAAACATTTAACAGACAAATTCCTCCCCTTAGGAATGTTATAATCCAAATGTAAAAATAAGCTGCTCTGTGGCATCAATCAGTATTTAAGCCAAAACCATGTTAACACTCTAGGATAAAACACCTAAGGAGAAAGTTATTGTCATACTAAAGCATGTGAGGTAACAACAGGAAAATGCTTGCATGTTCACGAATAAGAAAAATTTTTAAACTATTCTTTAATAAAACCTGGTTTTTATTTCTCCTGTAAGTTAAATGATTTATATCTAATGTACATTTTTCTATAACTTTTGTTTATTATTTTATAGGATTTCACATAAAATAGCTTTGTCAGTATCTGTGAATTTTTTTTCCTATTAATCTTTTTGACTCTATGATGCTCTCTGCATATTATAAAACACAGAGCTGGCCTGTGCATATGTATTGTAAAAGTATTTACCCATTACTACAAACCCTTCCAGCAAACACCATTTGAAATGACGACCTGCTGCTCCATCCCACTAACCTACCCTGTTTCTTTTATCACCAGGCGTGCACTGAATCTGTTCCATTCTCCTTCTGCCCATGCTTGTAGCACTTCCTGAAGTATCTTTTCACTTCAAGCTCTTTTTTTTGCTTTAGAGGAATTCTTTAACATTGTTCACAAAAGGCACACACAAAGTAAAGCTCTTAATAAGAATGACAAATTGCTTTTCTATAGCTGGGTCAATTTGTACTCACAGCAGTTTTTATAAAAGTATTTGTTTGCCACATCTTTATCACACTTTACTTTCCCTTCTATAAATAAAAATATTTGCTGATTTGAGAGATAAAAATGTTTTATGTTTGTTTGATAATTAGTGAGGTTGAACATTTTTCCAAATGTTTGGTGGTTTGGTTTTTGTTTTTTTTTTTTAACCACATTATAACTTTTCTCCATGAACAATTTTATCCCCAGGAGCTGAATACAAACCTGAAAGTAGATGCTGAAGAGAGGTAGCATTATGTTTGAGAAAATCTTCATTAAATCTTTCCAAATCCTTGTTGACAAATATTTTCTGCATTTCCTGAGAGAGAACTTGGCTCACAATGTCTGGAAGATTACTATGATTAGACACTATAAAAACAAAAACATTTGGATTTTTAGATTTTGATCTGTCCTTTGGGGAAAAATACATCAATGGGAAAACCTTTGAATTTATTACTAAGCTTAACATATTTTACACAGTCCTTGCCAGCTGCAGTGGCATGGGTACATACTGGAGCCATCTGAGAAGGCCCTGGGTGGAGATTATAGGTAGACCTGAACACATTGGGTGTGCCCACAGACACATCCATAACCCTAGTGGGCTGGAAGGCTGTGGTGAACAATGAAGATCGCAGTGTGATGAGACCATTGGGGGTGTTTAACACTGTCTTTCTCTCATAAAGGAAATAAATAAGTAAACTTTAAGAAAAACACTGCTCCTTGAGAATATAAATATTTATTCAACCTGGAAAATGTACTAATTTCTTGTATCGTTTGGCTAGTATGTTTAATTTATAGACACATGTTCATTTAAGTACTATAAACATTACTCTTTTTCCACATGGTTGTAAATTTCTTTAGTGTTCAGCTTAATAGAAGACAGTTCATATTTGTTTCTACATAAACATTACCTTTTTCATACTTACCAGTTTTAGAAAATTTAATTAAACATTCATGTAACCATGGGTTATTACTGTTAATAGCAAAAGCTCGTTTGACAGACTGCAGCATTAACAGAAACTTTCCTGTGTCAGAAAACATGATAAAATAACAACATCAATACTTATGAGTTATTTTCTTCCATGTGTTATATTCAATAACAAAACAGTACCTTTTCTACAACATACAAAAACAAAATTCAAAGCAGACTTTATTTATTACAGAGAATTTTTGCTTTCTAAAGAAAAGATTGAGGGACCAGCAGCTGGCACAATGACTATGTTGCTGGACTCCCATGTAGTCAACTGTGGTTCGAGCCCCAGACCCAGTGGCTTAAACTCACACCGGGCGCGTGTACATGCATGCCCAGGATCTCAAGAGGAGAAAGGAGAAGAAGGGACTGTGCCGTGACCATCCCCCCGGGGGTGATTTCTCACTTTCTGTCTCTCTGTCTTTCTGGCGAGCTCATGCAACCTATAGCAAAAACTTCTCCAATAAAAAAGAAAAGATTGAAAAATCATGAAGAATCACTTTAGGTAAAAAAAAAAAAAATTGTATGATTGTTCAAATTATTCTTAAACTGGATTTGATCATAATATTATAATTTACTACTGCTATGGTTGGCGTGTGTTCTCTCAGAATTCCCATGTTAGAGGCTGGTCCATGGCAAAGTGGTTAAAGAGAGAAGGATCCTACATGGTTAACATGGTTTGAATCCTAGTCCAGGTGGTTTGAAAAACACACCAAGTACATGTATGTGTGTGCCCAAAATCCTGACAGGAAGGAGAAATGGAGGGAAAAAGTACAGTGTAACTATGCAATATTGGGAGTGTTTTTCTCTCTCTCTGGAAAGCATAAACACCCTCTGGAAATATTTTTTGGAAAAAAGAATATTCATGTATTGAAACCTGACTATGACGATATGAAGATGGTAGAGACTTACTCTGATTATGAGATTAACAGGTGGGTCTTTGGACGGGAATTAGGATTAATAAAGTCATCAGGGTGGGCCCCCATGATTGCAGCTGGTGGCTTTATAAGAGAGACACAGACATGGAGGCGTAGAAACACAAACTCCTGCCATGTGATACCCAGCGCTGCTGTGGGACTCTGTCCCACACCGATAGGTCCATCATCACATTTGGCGTCTTGACTTTCAACCTCCAAAACTGAGCTCTATTGTTTCTAAATTACCCAATGTTGTATTCAGTTGTCAGTGACAGAAAAGCAAACCAAAACAATTACCCACCAAATCTGGGAAAAGAAAAGTTGATTTTAAGAACCTCCGTAGAAGGTTGAAATAGAACTTTAGATCTAAACTAACAAAGATTACACTGAATATGGTCACCAATATAACAAATTAAAAACTGAATTCAAACTGTTTATTACCTTTTCTAAAATATATTTCAAATGCTAATAGATGTGTATCAATGTTATCGGCTACAAGGTTCTTAAGAGGAATAAGGAACTTGATGGCTTCTTCTAACGGGTTTTCTACCTATTTTGAAACAGAAGAAAATATATTTACAAAAAATAGCAACACAAGTCAAATTTACCCTAAAATTTTGTATTAATACATACCTAAAATAAAGTACACAGTTTTCTTTATATTATTGAGCAAGATAACTGTTATCTGTAAATAAATTCTAAATATAGTCAACAATTTTCAAAACAGAAATATTGTAGTGTTTGCCTGACTAAAAAATCAAGATAAAGCCAGCTTCATGGCACAGTGATAAAGCCCAAGCACAACTCAGAAAACAAGCTTTTTTTTTTATTTTGCTCTAGAGCATGTGTGCTTGCCAGAGACAGAAAAAGAAAGAAAGAAAGAAAGAAAGAAAGAAAGAAAGAAAGAAAGAAAGAGAAAAGAAAAGAAAAGAAAAGAAAAGAAAAGAAAAGAAAAGAAAAGAAAAGAAAAGAAAAGAAAAGAAAAGAAAGAAATCACACCCCAGGGAGGACAGCCACACTGCAATACCTCGCCTTCATTATCCTCTCAGGATTTTGGGCACCCACACAAGTGTCTGGCATGTTTTTCAAGCCGCCTGGTTCAGGATTTGAACCATGCAGCCAACCATGTGGAACCTAGCTGCCTCAATCACCAGCCACCAGTCACTCCAACACACAAGCTATTGATCTCACATGGTGACCACGGTTCCAATCCCCAGCTGCTTTGGCCTGAAACACACTGGGCACGCAAACCAGCATTCAGATCTGACGGGCAGGCTGAAGAAAGGAAGAAAAGGGATTGCAATAGGACCAGACCCTGTGCTCATCTCTCTCTCTACCTCACTCTCACATGCACACATACCCACTCTAAAATAAATTTTTAAATTTTAAATCAACAAAAAAATGAGAAGCTATTTGCTGATAAGTTATAGAGTAATCTCTTTGGCTTGACTGACATGCATAGTACTTGTGCTGGAAAAATAAATGTACACTGTAAAGAGGTGATTAAATGTAAATTAATTAATTTTAAAAATTTAATTCAAAATAATTTTATAAAAATCCAAAAAGAAAACCCATAAAACTATTCCGCAGACTTAACAAGATGGTATACTAGACACCAGGAGTCCTGCATATACTACAAACATTTGAAGTAAGGAGACAAGTGTAATACCATCACATAATTGGAAGGAAAGTAACAATAAACTTAAAATACTATACTTACAGAAATAAAGTAAAAAGCTAAATACTTCCCTAAATCTGGCCCTACACTAACCATTAACATGGAAGAAATCATGGTGATGAGGTGTTCTCTGTAGTTAAAACTTATCTAGTAAGATATATAAAATGTGTTCCCTATTTAATAGAAAACTGTATTGCTACTGTAACAAATCACAAAAATTTAGTGGCTTAAAGTCAATGGGACCAGCAGTTAGCGTAATGGCTATGTCGCTGAACTCCCATGTAGCAAACTGCGGTTCGAATCCCAGATCCGGTGGCTTAAAACTCACGCCGGGCACGTGTGTGTGTGTGTGTGCCCAAGATCCTGAAAGGAGAATGGAGGAGAAGGGGTTGTGGGTGGCCATCCCCGCTGGGGGGTGATTTCTCGCTTTCTATCTCTCTGTCTTTCTGGCACAGGCACCCTATAGCAAAAACCTCTCCAAAAATCAAACAAACAAACAAACCAAAGTATTATCTTGCAGTTCTATAGGTTAAAATTCCCACACAGGCCTCTCTCTCTGAGATTAAAAACAAGGTATCAGCAGGACTGCATTCCCTGTTAGAGGATCTAGGGGAAAACACATTTCAATGCTTTTCCCACTTGTAAAGCCGGCCCCTCTCCTCCACCTTCAAAGGTGGCAGGGGCAGGTGGAGTCCTCCTCACATGATCTCCTGCCCTTTTCTGCCCTCCTCCACTTTTATGCCCCTCTGAATACACTGAGCCACAAGATAATTCCAGCTCATATCCCTATCATGGGAGTAGCTAATTATACTCTTAAATTTCACCAATCACCTTAATTCCCCTTTGCCACATAACGGTCAAATATTCAGGGTATGAGAATTGAAACGAAGACACCTTAGAAAGCTGTTACTCTGCCTACCGAGACTCCAATTCTACTTGCACATTATCACTCAAAGATAAGTAATGACTATTGTAATGACCTTGAAATACTGAAAGAGTTTCTCATTTATAGGTTTAAATAAGTCATATTTAAGGCCGGAAGAGAATAAAACAGCATAAATTGTATTTAATAGTAAACAGTGTAAATTCATCTCACCCGTTCTAATTTTTCAGGTATAAGCTCTTCCTTAAGACCACTGGTTTCTTCTTCTTCGTCATCTCTTTTTTTCTTTTGATTTTTTTGCTGACGTTCCCTTTCCACATGTTTTTTCTCTTCTTCTAATTTAGCCTTTTTCTGAGCTCTTCTCCGCTTACTAAGCATTTTCTTCAATTCTTTGGCTGACAGGTTGTCTATAAATATCCAAATAAATAAAAATTCTATTGAGTCAATGTCTATTTTCCCTCATATTTCTCCTGCTATTATTCATGTAATTATTATAGCTTGGGGGGGGCAGGGAAAAGACAACTGCATAAGAGTTTTTAGCATTCCCAGTTACTAATACAAAACCTGGCACACAAAGGACAACCAGTAAATGTTGAATGAACTAAACTTAACCATCCCCCACTTAATATTTTATTTCTAAGAAATCTGAGTATTAGAAGAGTTGCTTATTCTACTTGTCATCATGATTTGTTAAGATCTTGAAGTTATTGAGAATAAAATTAAAGCCATTAAACGTAAAAAAAAAAAGAAAAAAAATTACCTCTAGCCCAGTTCTCCCTTCTACACAACATGACTGTAGACAAAACACTTCATCCCTCTCAGTCTCAACACCCAAATTGTGTAAAGTGGGGCTGACATCACCAACTAATCTTGTGGAAAATTTCAATGGTAACTGAGTTAATGTATATAAACACACTTGTGATCTCTAACCATCATGTAATTATTAGAAATGAATACTCAGAAATTTCCTCCATATAATTATTTACCAAACAGTCACATTCAGAGAATAAAAAAATCACACAAATATTCTTACTGGCATTCTTGTTTTCAATATAATAGATATAAGAAATTTAAGGAATCTACTTTTCCCTAAGGAATAGAAAGCTATTTTTAGCTATAATTTAAAAAGAAAAACAAGAAAGAAAAAGAAACCAACCATCTATACTAATTTTCATTTTTCCAGAAAAATTGCAAGTCATTTCATTTGAGTGATTTAGAAGCACCAGGACTTTTCTTTTTTCCGTCTCTCCCAAGATTTTTTAGGGGGAGGAAAGCATATCAGTTATCTAATGTTGGCTTCACATCCATTTTGACACACGCTTTTCCTATGTATTGTTGATGCTAAGGACCTTCTGAAATTTAGCATTCTTTTCTAATCTATTAAAGCAAGTTTCTTTTCAGTTACCTGAATTTGTTTCTTGCTGTTTGCTTTCATTGGTTAAGGGATTATCATATAATTTCAAGTATATTTCAATTGCTGATCTAGCAGCCTTGAAATAAAAGACATGTCTTCTGAGTCTATCTTCTAATCTCAAAAGATCAACATAGGCACGAAGGGTCATCTTTCTCATGCAGTAGGTATGGAAGTCAAATTGATCATCGGTTATCTCAGAAAAATGCTTAAAAACAAAACCACAGAATTAACCCTTACATTTATATCAATAATGTCCACCCTTTGAAAGAAAATCTAAGAAGGCCCCAAACCAACTTAAACAGTCACAATTTCACTTACCTGCACTCTTCCATGTTTAAACACTAGAAAGGGCATGAAGTTTTTTGCGTTTAACTTCAAGTGTCTCTTCCTACAATCCATCACCATTCCCTACAAATCATGGTTTGATGATACTCAATTTCTACGTGAGTAAAATAATCAGGGTTTTTTTAAACCTAGAAATTAGTACGTACTGATAATTTTTATAAAATATTTCTCCTCCAAATTTCCTAAAAACTAACATGTCAGAGTTAAACAGAGCTCTGAATAAAGACTAAACATATGCAGATTCACACTAAATATTTACCAATCAGACTGCTCTACTCAGCTCTTGACCTCTTTAAGGGCAAGATCATCTCTATCCCCAATGCTTGGCAGAAGACAAAGTAAATAACAGACATTCGACAAGCACAGTATCTGTCAATTCAAGAGATAAACTACTTATCAGGCACATGACCTTGAATCAATCTTAATTTCCTAGAGACTTAATTATTTAATGTAAGTTAGCAATAAAATAACATATATACTAATATACATTCAGTTTCTTAAGGTTTTTAAAGGATCAAACAAAAACTTTTTTTTTAAGATGTTTTTGTCTTAGGGTGCATGTGCTTGCCAGAAACAGAGACTGTGAGAAATCACCCCCCCCCGGGGGGGGATGACCATGCCGCAATCCCTTCTCCATTTTCCTCCCAGGATCTTGGGCATGCATGCACATGTACCCAGGGCTGAGTTTTAAGTCATGGGGTCTGGGACGTGAACCGTGGTCACCCACATAGGAGTCCAGCAATGTAACCACTATGCCATTTGTTAGCCCCAAACAGAAACATATTTTAAAGCTCATTCTCAGGCCAGCAGGTAGCATAGTCGTTAGGGGCACTGGACTCCCACGTGGTCGACCACAGTTCGAGTCCTGGACATGGTGGCTTACTTTCTCTCTGTCTCTCTCTCACTCTGTCCCTCTCTGGTCAAATTAAAAATAAATAAATGGGGACCAGCAGTTGGTGTAACAGCTATGTCGCTGGGCTCCCATGTAGTCGACTGCAGTTCAAGTCCCAGACCCAGTGATTTTTTTGTTGTTGTTGTTTTTAAAGAGGTTTTTGCTATAGGGTGCACGTGCGCTCCCCACCTATAGGATGCACGGCCGCTCCCAAGACAGAGACAGAGAGACGGAAAGCGAGAAATAACCCCCCCAGGGGGGATGGCCACACTGCAATTCCTTCTCCTCCATTCTCCTCTTGGGATCTTGGGCACGCACGCACACAGGCCAGCGTGAGTTTTAAGCCACCGGGTCCGGGATGCGAACCACGGTCAACTACATGAGAGTCCAGTGACATAGCTATTACGCTAACTGGTCCCCAGATCTCGTGGTTTAAACTCACACTAGGCGCGTGTGCATAAGTGCCCAGGATTCTGAGAGGAAAACGGAGAAGGGATTGCGGAGTGGCCATCCCCCGGGGGGTGGTCTCTCTGTCTTTCTCTTTCTGGCGAGCACATGTGCCCTATAGCAAAATACTCTCAAAAATTAATTAATTAATTAATTAAAGTTAAATCATTCTTTTTTTTAAAAAAAAAGTCATTCTCAACAGTAAACTGCCATACAAATGCAGAATGTTATGGTTTTCTCTTAATAAGTTCCTAGTAACCTACCTACATTTACCTTTAGTAGAAATTCTCAGTCTGGAGTCTGCGTATAAATAAACATAGCTAACTTCTTCCTAAGTAGAAAGTGCAAAGCTTTCAACCAATTTCCAAAATATCTGTGGGCCAAAAAGGGCTAAAAACTAACCCCTTACATAGAAAGAAGACTGGCCCCTAGCTCCCCATAAAATAATCTTGTACTTTTATTTTCTCCCCTACATGTAACTTCCTTTTTTTATTTCAATTTATTCCCTACATGTAATTTCTACCTCTGACTTCTTTCTTCTCTACTTTAGCTTCTCCAAAATCACAAAGAAAAAAATGAATGATTCAACACACCAATATAGTTCTACTGCTTCATGTTCCTTCTACCCTGGAGGTGGGGGATCTGCGCATTACATATATTAGTAATTGCCCCAAATAATTAGATAATTTTAGTCATCCTAGTGAGAAACATACTATACACAAAATTGCATTAAGTATCTGATACTCTAAGAGATAAGAAGAACAGAAGTATATTATAGGGAGGGCAAGAAATAGAATACATTAATATATCACATTAGTTTACAGTTATTACGGAAAAATTGTTTTAGTGAGGTTATATTTGAAAAGTGTGTTCTTTCTACCAATAAAACAAATCAGCTCATAAATAAAAATGTAACTTGATTCAAAAAAAAATCAAAAGATTACATATTTGATAAAGTTGTTAGTGGTTTTCCTTTATGTAAATCAAGTTGTATCAAGCACCATAAGAATACCTTAAATTTCAATAAAAGAAAAAATGGCAGTGCTAAAAGTCATGGAACACATAATCAGATAATAACATCTAAGATACTACACAACAGGTAGGCTAAGAAACATAAAAAGGTAGACAACAAACTTTAAGAGATTGACCTAGCAGCATTAGCAGACGTAGATTTTTAAGTTATGTCTCAGAGGGATCCATGTGGAACCATATTTAAGCCGCCTCTTTATCAGTAACAGCCCATAGGCTGCCTCTCTCCAGTTGCTGTCTTCCATAAACAGGGTGACCAACTTAGCTCAGTTTGCCACAGGCTGTCTCAGCTTTCCCACTGAAAGCGCCATGTCTCAGGAACCTGCTCAGCTGCAGGCAAACCTGGGTGATCAATCACTCACTCTATGAGATAATGGTGATATAGAATATGGCTAAATTGGAAAATATAGGATACTATAGTTATGGTTTCATAATACTTTTGCTTTTAGAAGAAATGGTGTATTTTGGAATAGAACATAGGAGAGTAACAAGATAATCTTGGGTTGATTTATTCAACTTTTTTTCCTGGAATAATTATAGAAGTTGCAAAGGTAATACACAGAGGTCCTACAAACCCTTCTCTGTTTCTTCCCAAGGTATGGCCTACATAACTTCAGTACATTATCGAAACCAAGAAAACTGATGCTGGTGAATGTGTACATACAGCTTTATATGATCTTATCACGTGTGGATTCACATGTCCACTACTATGACCAAGATATAAAACAATTGCATCACCACAAAGCTCCCCCTGGTACTATCTCTGGTTAACTTTTTTAGTCTCCAAATTTATAAAACATAAAATTATGCTGAAAAGTACAAACCAAGTTAGTTTCCCTGCGCATTTTAGCCCAGTATTTAAAGCATGGTAAGGTTAAATAGCTCTCTGCAGAAAACTAGGTATGCAAATCTTAACACACAGCTCATGCCCTTATCTCCTTTTCTCTCATCTTAAACGCTAGATTCTTTTATTTTGGGGAGGGGCAGTAAGGAGGAGTAACACTAGCAAAATTTTATTAAGCTGTCAAAAAAGGACTGCAACCAAGTAAGACAAGTTAGAAAGAATTAAGGAAAGCCACTCCCGGATTTAGTGTGGTTTTCTTTAGAAATCCCGTTAGGCCTCTCTTCTCACCCAGATTCTCTTGCCCGTTACCTCTCAGAGTTCCTGGATAAGACCAGTAAGAGCTTATTCACAGGAAGGCACAAAAACCTCTAGACTTAAATAATAACTAGACTAACTAGGGAATAAGCAACTTGATCTCCTTTGTAGAGAAGCTGTCATTATAAAGCAAGTGCCAATCTGATAAAGATTAAGATACAACAGAAAATATAGTTACAAACTGCCAATCACAAATCCTAGATCTTATAATCGTAAAGGAATTAAGTCTTATTTACTTTTAGTACAGAGATTCATTATTTTAAAAAAACTAGCTTAGAGGTGGCGTGAGAGTAGGCTTTTGTGTATCTGTTTCTAGCGCTGTTTTCAAACACCAGCACAATATCTGAGAGACAGTTTCTAGCAGTAAGAATTATGTAGCATGACCAAAAGTTGACGGCTTCTGCCATGTTTTAATCTGTGACAACCAATCTTTTACAAAATTTTATTCCAAGCTACTCAGCCAAAATTGCTAAGTTAAGGGAAAACATAACCTAAATGAAACAGTAATGGAAAACCTACTTATTACATTCTAATAATTTTCAAAAAAAAATTTTTTAGTAAGACAATATAGGGACCAGTAGTTGGTGCAACTGCTGTGTCACTAGACTCCCATGTACTCAACCACAGTTCGAGACCCGGATCCAGTGGCTTAAACTCATGCCGGGCACGTGTGCGTGCGTGGCCAAGATCCCTAGGGGAGAATAGAGGAGAAGGGATAGTGGCATGGCCATCCCCCCTGGAGGTGATTTCTCGCTTTCTGTCTCTCTCTGTCTTTCTGGTGAGTACACACACCCTATAGCCAAAAAAAAAAACCAAAAAAAAAAAACCTCTGCCCCCCCAAAAAAGGCAAGATAATTATTAATGCAAGGAGAAATGGGATCCAAATTCAAGAAGTTCAACAGCTGTAATGATTTTAAGGATACTTTAATAACACAAAAAAATTGGCTACATTTTTAAATATGGTCTTGCTAGAATTACTAACTCATAAGTCTCGCCTCTTCATTCAGGAAACGAAATACTTATCACTGAGAATGTCCTGGCTAACAAAAATGCATCTTTCCTAAATAATAAGCAAAATGCTTTTTAAGTAATGATCACCTAGGGGTGCAGCTATATCACAAAACAACTGGTCTGCAGCTGTATTACAAAAATAAGAGTCTGATTTAAACTATAATGCTTGGATATTTCACATATCATCCAAGGGCTTTATACTTTCCAAAGAGAAGATTAGGACGACTTCCCCTAAGGATACAGCCACTAAGCCTAGGCTTAAAAGGGCAGAACAAACAAACAAAAAGGTAAAAATTAGGTTATTTCTAAAAAGGCTAGGATATAAGCCTACATACAGTTCCCACCAAAAGCCACCCCCTAAGATGTAGCCTTTCTTTGGGTAAACTCAGAAGTTTCACATGGGAAAAAGGCCAAAGTGACTGCCGTAGTGCGGACAGCAGGCTCACCTGACTACGATGCCTGTGGTTTTATACTGCGTCGGCATGGGAGCAGTGGTGCCGATTGCCCCACAAATGAGGGTGCTGAGGCCTGCCTCAGGGGTGTATTTGCGCCTCTTTTCCTCCTGTGGTCCATGTGGAAGGAGAGTGCTTCAGAGATGACAAAGAACAGGAAAACAAAAATTCACACAAAGGAAAAGAAAAGTACCCTCACTAAGGCACATGACACACACATCCTAAAAGCAAATTATAAAATAAGCCTAAACACTGGCCACAGATTGCTGTACAGAGTACAGAATGTGAGGGCAAATATCCTGGGAAGACAACTGGAGAGAGGCTGACTATGGACCAGATCCTGATGTTTCAAAGGGGAGAGGTTGCCATCAAGTATGTGTCTTCCTATGCTAGTGATGAAAATCAAGTAACAGCCCAATTAGGAAACAAATTTTGCATTTATGTTAACAACCGTGATTTACTAAATTAATCTTCTTTCTTCCTTCAGACAAAAAATATGTGGACATATCAAAAACATAACCATCTGAGGATCAAAAAAGTAATCATATGTTCACAACTTCTGAACGTTTGGAAGGTTACAGATCAAGAACTTATCACAATGAAGCTCCCAAAGTATAATTAGATGAAGTGGTTCATCCATGTAGAAATTTACCTGCTTTTTCTTCACCTTTCAGGAGAAAAGTGAAGTTGAAATTCTAACAACTTACCCTTTCTACTTCATGGCATTTTTTTAAGGCATCTCCATATTTTCCCAGACGCTGATAAGCTGAAATACACTCTGTCTGGAACCACATACACTGCATTTCATTTAGATTTTCCATGGCAGATGTTCCTTCCTGAAATGAAAACATTTGTAACTAGAGGGACCAAATGGATCCAACAATCCCATTTTCTGTTTTATACCTATGGCTACAAGTAGTATCACGACAACAACAATTAGCAAATATATCAAGGTGCTTCCAAAAGGCTCCTACTGGTTTTTTTCCTCCTCCTCCTGCCAGGTTTTTTGTTTTGGTTTTGATTTTTTTTTTTTTCAAGTTTCTTTGTTCCACAAGCTAAAGCAAAAGGGAGTGAGAGAGGCATGCATGAGCACTTCCAATAAGGCTCTAATAACATGATCTACTCAATTCTCAAGCAGCCCCAGATCATGACCACACATACGGCTGGCATCCCCAGGGAGACCTCTAGATATGAATCCAGAACCTTCCCATGTGGGTCAGCCACACAGAGTACTTAGTTACTACTAAGCCACCATGCAGTCCTCCTACTACTGGTTTTAAACACATAATGTCTTATTTATACACCCTATACAAAAAGATTCCAGATTATAAAAGCTTAGTTTTTCTGTTGTTTGAGGTTTTTGTTTTTTGTTTTTGTTTTTGTTTTTGTTTTTAAGAGAGATTATTACTATAGGGCACGTGCACTCTCTGGAGAGACAGAAAAAGAGACAGAAAACAAAAAAATCACCCCGTAGGGGGAATGGCCACACCCCAATCCCTTCTCCTCCATTCTCCTCTCGGGACTTTGGGCACGCATGCACATGTGTCCAGTGTCAGTTTTAAACTGTCAGGTCTAGGACTCGAATTGCAGTTGACCATGTGGGAGTCCAGCAATGTAACCATTTATACCATCTGCTGATCCCACTAAAGCTTAGTTTTTTAAACACCCAAGGTTTTATTTATACTACTGAGTTGTCAAGAAAGCCATGGGGCATTTCTGCACAGAAAAACATCAGAAAATGTATCATGATTTTCCCAAAGATCAAATATTTAAGACAGTAATTCTATAAAGCACTGCCTATTTTTGTAACCATTTTTTTGCTGACTGAGGGTTGCTTTTATGTGCATCCAATATTGCTGAATTTGCTAGTAATAGTTCAGGCCTGTTTCCAGTTTCTCAGTCTTCTTCCAAATTAGCCTGTCCCCTGTCACTTTCATCATGCCCATGGATATGCTTCCAACAGCACTCCTACCGCATACCAATTCTTACACCTGGCCATTGCTCTCTTGCAGCGGGCTGATAAAACCAAAAAAGTGATTTATTAAAAATATTTGAGGGGCCGGCAGGTGGCGTGGTAGTTAAGCCACTGGACTCCCACATGGCTGACTGCGGTTTGAGTTCCAGACCTGACAGCTTACTTTCTCACTTTCCCCCTCTCCTCCACTAGTCAAATTAAAAAATATATTAATAGTAATAAAAGATAAATAAATGAAATGATTCTTTAAAAAATATATTTTTAAAGAATATATATATTTTACAAAATATAAATTTTTATTTATATATAATTTTATATTATGAAATTTATTATATATATATTTATATTTGAGGCCAGCCCTGTGGCCTAGAAGTTAAGGGAGTCAGATTCCACATGGTTGACTGTGTAGTTAAATCCCAGCCCCTGTGACTTGAAATACACAAAAATCCCAACAGGATGGAAAAATGGAAGAGAACGGATTGCACCGTGACCACATCCCTCTCTCCCTCTGTCTCTCTCTGACACGTACCACCCTAGCGAGTATATATATTTTTTGTTAATTCAGGCTCAATGAGAATTCTGAGAGGTGTGTAAAACAAAGTATCATCTTTCAGTGCCAGAATACAAGTTTTGTCACAGTTAAGAAAAAATTTATTTGAAATATTGTTAAACATTTAAATATTATATTATTATTAAACATTTTAAATATTATATTAAATATTTTGTATGCCCTCAGGAAAGACAGCAAAGGGGGTCAGCAGGTGGCATGGTGGTTAAGGCAGCTGGACTCCCCAAGGGTGACTGAGCAGTTCAAGTCTCAGACCCAGCAGCATGAAAATCACACGAGGTATGTGTGCTTGTGTGCCTAAAATCGCAAGAGAATAGAGAAGGGACCATGGCATGGCTACCTCCCCCCATGGGGGGGTGCTTTTGCACTTTCCTTCTGTCTTTTTCTGGTGAGTACACACACCCTATAGCAAAACTGAAAAAGAGAGCAAAGGTACATTTATATAAATCATTCAATTTTCAGGGTTTTTTGGGTTTTTTTTTACCGTTTGTATTGTATCAGTTCAAATTACAGAATTCATTAAAAGTCTAAAAACTAGCTATCTCTAGGTGCATAGAAAGATAGATGTGTTATTGGAGCTATGCATGCCAAGATACCTAGAGGAAGATGGAGGAGAAGTGATTGTGAGGGTTACCATCCCCACTGCGGAGGGGTGGGGGTGACTGCTTCCCCCCACCAAGAGCACATGCACCCTATAGCAAAAACCTTAAAAAAAAAAAAAAAAAGAATGATAAATGTATTTTATTTCTTCTTTATGGCTATGTATATTTTCCATGTATATGATAATACTATATTTTCACAAGGAATCTATTATTTTTCACTTCAAAAAATTATCAACTAGAACCAATGGACATACATTAACAATTCTGTATGTTCTAAACTGTAAGAAATCTGGAAGAAAGAAATATGAGCACTTTACTTATTTATCTACTGACCTTGAGAAAGCCCTTTCTATAAAGATAAACGAACGACCCATAGGAAGTTGTCTTTACTGAAAACTAAATTTGAGTACGTGATTGCCCTTCTCTGTGTATATGTGTGAAAATATACCATTTACCAATGCCTAGCACGGTAGTCCTCCTTTATCTCCAAGGGATATTCCAGACATCCTATGGATGCCTGAAACCACAGACAGGACCAAACCCTAGGTCACACTGTTTTTTCAATCTGATAGCCAGGAGGGCTAAGGTGACAAGTGGGTGAATAGCACATATAGGGCGGCTATGATGACCATGGGATGATTCCCGTGCTGGGTGGAATGAAGCAGGACGGTGCTTCATCAGGCTACTCAGAATGGCACACAATCTGACACTTGTGAATGATTTCTTTCCGGAATGTTTCACTTAATATTTTGGACTGTGCTTGACTACAGTAACAAACTGCAAAAAGTGAAACCAGATATGGGAGGATGACTATAATGTCAGACTCAACCTTTGGCAATTTGATGTGAATATGGTATCTCATTATTTTAATTTTCATATCCCTGATTACTTGAAAACATATTTTTTTGGACATTCCATTTTCTACTTCTGTGAAACTATTCACATCTTTTGCCAGTATTTCTACCCTCTTGTGTCTTCTTCATTTTGCCAGAGGGTGTGTGTGTTCACTGGAAAGGGAGGAAGGGAGAGAGAAGGAGAGGAAGAGAGGAAAAGTAAGAAAGTACCTCCCATGGGGAATGGTCATGCTGCAATCCTTCTTCCCCATCTCTCTCTCCTTTGGGATTTTGGGCAGACATGTGTACACATACACACACACTCAGTACATTTCCAAGGTGCTAGGCTGGGGACTCAAACCACATGGATAGCCACGTGGAATCCAGCTACCTTAGCCACGAGGCCACAAGTTCCCCATCTTGTCTGTTTTTTATTGAGCTTTTTTGTGTGTTTATATTTCTGACATCACTTTTCAAAGCAGTAAATTTTCAGAATAAAAGCTTAAGCTGTAATGTGGCTTCTAAAAAGGATTTCCACACAACTGGAATCTATCGCTCCTTTTTATTAAGAGGTTTTTGCCCTAGGGTGTGTGTGCTTGTCAGAGAGACAGACAGACAGAGACAGAGAGAAAAAGTGAGAAATTACCCCCCCCAGGAGAGATGGTCATTCCACAATCCCTTCTCCATTTTCCTCCTGGGATCTTGGGCATGTGTACATACACACGCACCCAGTGTGATTTTCAAGTCACTGGGTCTGGGACTTGAATAGCAGTCAGTCATGTGCAAGTCTAGTGACGTAACTACTACGCTATCTGCTGACCCCAGAACCTACCTAATATTTAAAGGAAGGTGATATACTGGTGTTATTGAGTTGTCAGAGAAGTCATGACGTATTTTTTCATGTTTTTCTATGCAAAAATGCATCATGACTTTTCTGACAACCCAAGATATTAGTGATAACTTAGCAGCACAGAATACAGCAGTAACTTATGTTCATCCTGTAGAACTCACTGGCAAACACCAGCACAAAAGCCCTCTCCTGTACATAATGTACACTTGGAAGTGTAAATAACTTATTCATAACTTTCTTAATTAAAACTCAGAAATAAAATTTAAAATTTCTTCATTATGTCTCAGTATCACATTTAATATATATTACATAATTATTTCAATGAACTCTCTGATGTTCCTTTTTTTTTCTTAATTTATTTATTTGGGGGTCAATAGGTGGCATGGTGGTTGAGGCACTGAACTCCCACATGGCCAGCAATGGTTCAAGTCCCATTTCTGGTGTACTGGTAAAGCCCTATTTAAGAGAAGTCATATCCTACATGGCAATCACGGTTCAAATCCCTGGCCTGGTCAGCCTGAAACATGACAGGTACATGCATGAGTGCCCAAGCCTAATGTGCGGGAGGACTGAACGATGGTGACTGCAGTGTGACCAGACCCTGTGGAGGGTGTTTGAGAACATACACACATGCATGCACTCTATCATGGATAAAGAAAAATAAATTTTTTAAAGAAAGGCTTCATGCCTCAAACCCCTAAAGATAAACTGCTACATTTTTTTCTAAAAGTCTGAAAGGTTTGCTTTCCATATTCAGATCTTTAATCCACCTGGAACTGATTTGTGTGCAGTTGAAGACAGGAATGTCACTTCTTTTTTCCACACAAATAATTAGCTGCCCCACCAGTACCTTTTCCCTTCTAACTTTTCAAGTACCACTAGCAATAAAACAAGATTCCAAATATGTTTGAATCTGTTTGCATTTCTATATTGTTTGAATATAGAATATACATTATGTATATATATATTGTATTCTATATATACAATATATACAATATAACAGAGTTGTGTGTGGAAAAGGATATAAAGGTATAGTGAAAGAGGGAAATAAAAAGAATGGATGTTTAACCCAACAATTTCAGAAAACTTATACTCTAGAATGTCACAGAGACTAGTAATACACAGAACTCAGTTCTATACAGAAACAGTGCTCTAAGCAGTAAAGTAAGGCACTGTAAAAGAGAAATGAAAAAGCAGCCACAAATTATTAGCTAGACAAAGAATTAGGAATATGAATCAAATTTTACACCTAAGTGCTGAAGTATGGCACATTGGTGTCTTTGTATTATTTTGTTCCTACAATTGCTTCTTAATCATCCTGTGCCAGAAACACACACAGACATACACACAAGCACAGTTTTAAAAAATAAATAAATAAACTTAGAATATGAATTTAATGGGATTTTTTTAAAAAAATAACAAAATTCTTATGAACTAGTTATGAACTTCAGTGGCAGATATTACAAATCATCACCTGAACTTAAGCTTAATTTTACTAATTCAGATAATTACATGCCTATGTACGTTACTCCTACCCTTGTGAACTTGGCACACATTTCCTCAGCTTCCTTTATCATATTCGCTCGAAGCATATATTTTGCACATTTGGAGTTGATGAATCTATCAGCTGTGTCTAACGACTGTGCTTCGTCCATCCACTTTGCAGCTTCTCTGAGGTTACCTATATGCTACAGGAAAAGAAAACATTAAAGAAATCACAGCTTATGATCAACAGATTACGGGTACAATATAAATTTAAAACAATTTATAAAGACAAATTAGAAATCTCATACCGTTTCTGTGACATTTACACATTGATAGCTGGAATTCACATTTACCAAGGGCTGAACCAAATGGCTAATACTGATTACACAACTACTACATAACATCAATAAATTTCCTTAGGATTGTTACAGTTTTCAGAAGAATATGGTCAGGGTGCCCTAGAAGTTATTTCTACATAGAAATTCCAAGGGTTCTTAAAAGCAGCTGAATTCTTTGACCATTCAAAAAACATAATAAAGATTTTACCTTGTAAATTTTCCCTTTCATATAGAATAGCTCTATTAGGGTTGGAGTACTAGCAATAGCAGCATTAATGTAATCCAAAGCCAAAGAATATTGTCCAAGTTTATCAAAGTGCTGTGCCAGGAAATACTGAACCCAGAGCAGTGTAGTCGGTGGTTCTTTCTCTCCCTTCTCTGCAACCAGACAAATGTGGAAATTATTATGGGAAAGAAGGCAAAGTAAACCAAATGACATACTTCCTCTCCCCTCATTCATAATGAAATTAATAATAAACTATAAAAAGGGTAGCAAAAAATGGGCAAATCAACAGAAAGAGGTATGACTTCATATCAAAAAGTTTTAAAAGTAGCAGCCAAGTACAGATAGAAAAGGCTGGCTTGGCAGGCTTCTAACACCAACCCCACTCCAAAGAAACAGTGCCTAGGAAAGGACATAAATCAATCTAATTCTATGAATTCTCAGGCTGAAAGCAAAAGGTGGCATGTCCAGAAGGGTCAAAACAGGTTGAATAAGAGATTCCCTAACTACCACTGTAGGAGTTCACAAGGCAAGAACTACTAAACTGCCAGGGCTCAGCATTTTCTCTGCTCCCACATTAACTAGAGAGACCCCAAGTTGAAGGGTATAACCCACAACAGGAGGCTACATTCCAGAGAAGATGGAAATAACCCTGCCATATGGCCAAAGTCTAAGAGAGAACATACTCAAGTCCTCTAATGAAAGCAGTCACATACATGCAATCAGATGAGCCCTACTCTGTTCCTCATCCTGTACCCTCAACCCACACAGAGTAAAGAAATACCAAACTCTCAAGTGGATTTCAGAAGGGAAGACCAGAAGACATGAAGTGGCGAGTGAATGAGTGAATTTACCCATGCTACATCAGAACAAACAGAAGGTACCCTAGTTAGATGACTAAATAACATGCCAATAAAGCAAACACTATAGCATAAATTAAAATACAAATAAATTTTAAAAGGCAAATAGTCAAATGTTTATCCTGCTCCTCTTACATAAGAGGTCTAAAAAAGTTCACAGAAATGCATATATGAAAAGCTATGCATGGATTTCCAATTTCTGCACCAAAATAAACCTGTATTTTAACTGTTTTTTCTGTAAAATTTTTAAAGTCCACTTTTATGAACTGTATTTCATGTGAACCAAATATGTGACAAAGAAAAGTTCTTCATAAGAAGAATTCCTGCCAATAAATGAAGAAATGATGAGAGTGAAATAAGGTATCCAGGCAATGATCCTCAACGGCAGCTAAAATCAATGCCAGAACTTTTTATGGGGCACCTCAGGCTGACAACATCTGAACTCTGATCAATCTTAACATCAACAGACACATCCAGATGCCTCGTGCCTCCTGCTATGACATAAAAGGAGCACAGAGCAGTACCTGTGCCGTATTCAAACAGAACCTGAATCAAATCACGTCTGTAAATTCAGTCATAAGTACAAGATTTTAAATGACATCACAGAAAGCTATCAGCTAAATTCAGGATATGGACACTAAACAAGAGAATATGGATACTGAATAAGACAAAAAATAAGTAAATAAATAAATTTAAACATTGTATTTTTTTTTAAAGAATTATTATTATTATTTTAATTTGACCAGAAAGAGACACACAGACACAAAAGGCAAAGTGAGAAAGCAAGCCACCAGATCTGGGACTCGAACCCTGGTGGTCAGCCATGTTAGAATCCAGCAAGTAACCACCATGGCACTTGCCAGCCTAATAAATGGTATTTTTTTTTAAGTGGGCAGGATGCAGAATATAAGAGACATGCAGACTGGGTAAGAGTACCAGACCTGATGGCTTGCTTTTGCTCTTTCTTTCTCTTTCTGTCTCTCTCTGGTCAAATTAAGTAATAATAATAATAATCAGTAAATAAAAGAATTCTTAAGAAAAAAAACTTAATGAAAAATATCTAGGTTGAAATAACTCACAAAAACTTGTTTTTGGAAAACTGAGGAAATCTGAATATAAACTGGGTATTAGACATTGTGGTAGGAGGTTAATTTTGTGTGTCAAGGCGTTTTGGTTACATCTTCTGTTCAAGTGTTTTAAACAGATGCAAACTAAGGTACTTAGAGGTAAAATGACCTGTCTGGTTGCTTTAAAAATGCTCAAAGATGGAGCCAGCAGATGGCATAGCAGTTACACCGATGGACTCCCACATGGCCAATTGAGCTTCAAGTCCTGGAACCCGTGGCTTGAAACTAATGCCAGGCACATGTGTGTGCGTGTGTGTGTGTGTGTGCGCGCGCACATGCCCAAAATCCCAGGAGGAGAACAGAGGAGAAGGGATTTTGAGTGGCCATTCCCCTTGGGGTATGATTTCTCACTTTCCTTTTCGATGTCTTTGTCTCCCTCTCTCCAGCGAGTACACATGCCCTAAAGTAAAAACCTCTTTAAAAAGAAAAAAAAAAAAAAAAAAAAAACTCAGAGTAATGACATATAAAAGACACAGGAAGAACATAGACTAAAATTACCTTGTGCATGAATGAAATCATTCTAGAGTGTTTTCTAAATAAAGTTCCCTCAATTCACATATGTCCCTACAAATAAACAAGAAATCCAACTATACAGGTTTAAAAGCAAAAAGTTTGAGCCATGACAGTGCACACATGGGGGCGCTGCTGTCACCTAGGAAGCCCCACTTTGATCCCTGGAGAATCCAAGCCAAACACACCTTTAGTGGTGCATGCCTGTAATCCTAGCTGACTGAGATGCCAGGGCAGGAAAATCCATGTCCAGACCCTGACAAAAAAAAAAAAAAAAAAAAAAAACTGCCTCTCCCCACTCCTTTTCCTGCACTTTCCCTCATTTAAAAAAATAAAAAGAGGCAGAGAATTTAAGGATTCAGGAAAATTAGGTTTCAAGATAAACAAACTGCATGATTTTGGGCAAATCTTTCAACCTCTCAAGTCTGTTTTCTCACGTTAAAACAGCAAGTGACATGGTGATTAAGACACTGGACTCCCACTTGGGCAACTGTGGTTCGAGTCCTGAATTCAGTGGCTTGAGAATCATGCTGGGTGCATGTGCATGTGTGTCCAGAATCCCAAGAGTAGACTAAAGGAGAAGGAATATGGTGTGGCCATCCCCCCCTGGGGGAGGGTGATTTCTCACTTTCCCTCTCTCTCTCTCTTAGTCTCTCTCTCTCTTAGTCTCTCTCTGGCAAGTGCACATACCCTATGGCAAAAATTCTTAAAGGACAAACAAGAAAAAAAATTTTAACTTCTGCCCCACAGAATTATAGAAAATTGGGACCAGCAGTTGATGTAATGGCTATGTCACTGGACTCCCATGTAGTCGACTGAGGTTCGAGTCCCAGACCCAGTGGCTTAAACTCACGCTGGGCATGTGTGTGTGCTTGTCCCAGATCCTGAGAGGAGAATGGAAGAGAAGGGATTGCGGTGTGGTCATCCCCCCGGAGGGTGATTTCTCACTTTCTGTTACTCTGTCTCTCTCTGTCTTTCTGGTGAGCACACACACCCTATAGCAAAAATCTCTCAAAAAAAAAAAATTATGGAAAATTTAAATTAAATAAGAATGAAACGTTCTCTCAGTTTATTCACTAATTCAAAAACTATTTAATAGTAGCTAGTATACAGCGCACACATAATAAACATAAAATAGTATTACTGTAATTGATTTAAAATGGATTGAAATGAATATATCAATTTCCAATTCCATCTTATTTAAACTTACCATAAGGGCTAAAAAAGTCACATGTTTTAAGAGAGGCTTCATAACTAGTAACGAGTTCCTGGATTATAGAAACCTGTTAAAAAAAACATATTTTTAAAATTTAAAAATATTTTATTGGAAGTATTTTTACTTATTACAGATTAAATTAGATTTGGGAAATAATAAACAGCTTATTTCTGAAATATAAATTAACTAAACTACTAGGGTGTTCCCTCCGCCCCTAATATGAACATTTTCCTGTGCTGGGAGAGGTGATAAGAAAAAACAAACAAAAAAATACACTGCCATTTTTATTAATAGTAACACAGAACATTAATTTCTCATAAGCAGTTTGAGGTTTTTATGAACGAATTAGAAACAATAACTACAAAACTTATTTTTCTGCCAATAAATAAATCTACAGAATTTATTACTAACAGTGAATTTATTTACCTTTTGTTTCCTGTTGTTATACTGTAAAGTTATAAACCATTATACTGGGTTATTGGAAAAGTCATGACACATTTTTGCATAGAAAAATACATCACGACTTTTCTGAAGACCTAATATGAAAATTCAGAATTTCTAAAACATTACTCATTACAAACCAGTTAAGTGAAATGATTCAAGATTTGAAAAGTTTAAGTGAAATTAAAAATGACTGTTTTGGTTATTATTGTTAGCAACTCTGAGAAAAGGCAGAAAGTTGAAATTTGCACTAACTACAATGACAGACTCCACCACCCAACGTACTTTTATATGCCTACTTCTAAAATAAGGTCTGAAACAGTGGTATTTTGTGAAAAATTGAAACTTTTTATTTTCATAAAAACAAAAACATTGGGACAAACAGAGGGCATAATGGTTATGTAGCTCAACTCCCATGTAGTTGACCATGGTTCAAGTCCCAGACCTGGTGGCTGAAAACTCATGCCAGGTGCCGTGCCCAAAATCCCAAGAGGAGAATGAAGGAGAATGGACTGCGGCATGGCCATTCCCCCAGGGGATGATTTCTTGATTTCTGTCTGTCTCTCTCTGTGAGTGTACAGGCTCTATAACAAAAATCTCAAATATATATTTATGTATTTTTTTTCTTTCACTAAACCTCTTTGTACACTAAGCAAAATTCACTGAAAAGCAGACCACATGTCACGTCTTAAACAGACTCTGGTATACACGGTGACAAAAGAAATCTCTTCGCACATTTCATTTAATACAAACTGACATGATGTAATTACCTTTATTTTTTAATTCAAATTAATCTTTGCCCGACAAAGTCATAGGTTAGAGCCCATGAAGCCAGTGACCACCCACTGATACCAATAAAAATGACTAGAGTCAGCTCTGTGGCACAGTGCTTAAGCACTGTACACTGAAAGCCAGACCCCACATGCTGACCCCACAGCCAGACCCCACAATGCAAGTCTTGGCTCCAGTGGTTGGGAAACATGCCATTCTCCTGTGTATGCGTGTGCCAAATTCTGATGGGATGGAAGAATGGAAGAAAAAGAACTGCAGAGTGACTATGCCCCACTGCAAGTTTCTGTCTGTCTCTCTCTCTCTCTTTCACTCTCTCTCTCTGGGGAACACAACCTCTAGAAAAAAAATGTAAAAGTCACTCCTTAAGACATTTTTCTGATACAATATTGCAACATCTTTCCAATATGATGTCACATCACATGGCAGTGTTCTAGTAGACTGCTGATAGGGAATTAGGTGGGAATAGATACTAACAGAGGGGAGATGTTTAAGTAACAGAATAAAAAGGATGGGAAGAAATTACATACACCATGACCTTACTAAAACATGCATGTATATAACCGAGATCAGAATAGAAAATGGGTACGCAAAGACTGTTTAATTCAAAAACAGGAGACTTAAAAGTGTAATCCTCAGACAATCTTCATCATCAACATTAGCAACACCTGGTAACTTGGTAGAGTCACAAATTTGGGGACTACTTCCCAAACTGACAGCAGCAGAAACTCTGGCTCTGTATAGTTTTTTTCTATTTTTAGGTTTTTGCCATAGAGTGCATGCGCTCACCAGAGACAGAAAGCGGCAGTGAGAGGGAAAATGAGACATTACCCCCCAGGGGGGATGGCCATACTGCAATCCCTTCTCCTCCATTCTCCTCTCAGGATTTCGGGCACGCACGTACATGAGCCCAGTGCGACTATCAAGCCATCAGGTCCAAGTTTGAACTACGGTTTGCCATGTGGGAGTCTAGCACCTTCACCACACCACCTGTCAGCCCCTGTACAATTTTCTTTGACAAGCTCTGGAATTGTCATTCTGATAACAGAGCTTGAGGACTACTGATGAATATATTACAAAACATTTTCATTATAAACCCAAATTAAAGGTAACAGACATTTTTAACCTACCATGACCACCTCACCAATTTCCCTTAGAATATACATAACTTTATAAACTTCTTCCAGGTTTAGAAATTCAGTACTCAAGTTGTGCAATTTGTGGAGAAAGCTATTTTTTCACAAACTTATAATGCCATCTATTGGCAGTTTCAAAAACTGCAGCTAAACAGGTTTTTTTTTTTTTTAAGCGACTTTTGCTATAGGGCACATGAGCTCACCAGAGACAGAGAGACAGAAAGCAAGAAATCACACCCCCCCCCAGGGGGATGACCATGCAGCAATCCCTTCTCCTCCATTCTCTCAGCATTTTGAGCACGCGCACACACACAAGCCCGGCATTAGGTTTAAGTCACCAGGTCCAGGACTTGAACCACGGTTGGTCGAGTGGGAATCCAGTGATGTAACTAACCATGATGCCATCTGCTGGTCCCTAGAACAGGTTTTAAATAAATAGAGCATACCTTTCTGCATGTCCTAAGTAAAATACATTTTTAAATAAATTGTACAAAACATATACTGAAGTTACACATAATCCTTCATAAAAGTATAAACACTACTGAATAAAACAGAACTTCAGTTTCAGAACATCAAAACAAGATCAGATAAAGAAGTGGAAAAAAAGTATAACAGAAATTCACATAAAATATCCTTTTAGGGAAAAGCAAACAAAAAACAATCTGGAAAGAGCACTGGACTTGCAGATATGTCAGGCATACTTGTATCTCAAAATTTTACGTATACAATTAATTCAGTAATTATGTGAACAATTTGGTTTTCCAAACTTGTCTATATAAATTAATCTGGAGCCAGCCTTGTAACCTAGCCTAGTGGTTAAGGGTGCTGAAGCCCACATACCAACCATGGTTCAAATTGTGCTGACCTGGCAGCTTGAAAAATATACCAGGTGCATGTGCAGGCACGCACCAAATCCTAACAGGAAGCAGAAATAGAAAAGAAGGAATTGCAACGTGACCATGCCCCATTAATGGGTGCTCACTTTCACAGGTCCCATTCTTGTTCTGCCTGGCAAGCACAGATGCTTTTTGGCAAAATTTTTTAAAAGTTAATCTAGGGAACCAGCAGTTAGCGTAATGGCTATGTCGCTGGACTCCCACGTAGTCGACCGCGGTTCACGTCCCGGACCTGGTGGCTTAAAACTCACGCCGGGCGCGTGTGCGTGCGTGCCCAAGATCCTGAGAGGAGAATGGAGGAGAAGGGATTGTGGCGTGACCATCCCCCCTGGGGGGTGAGTTCTCGCTTTCTGTCTCTCTGTCTTTCTCCGTCTGTCTGGAGAGCGCACGCACCCTACAGTGAAAATCTCTCCAAAAAAAAAAAAAGTTAATCTAGAGACCAGCAGTTGGCATAATGGCTATGTCGCTGAACTCCCATGTAGTTGACTGTAGTTTGAGTCCCAGACCAAGTGGCTTAAACTCATGCCAGGTGCATGTGCGTGCGTGCCCAAGATCCCAAGAAGAGAATGGAGAAGGGATTGTGATGTGGCCATCCCCCCTGGGGGGGTGATTTCTCGCTTTCTGTCTCTCTCAGTCTTTCTGGTGAGCTCATGCGTCCAAAAGCAAAAACCTCTCCAAAAAAAAAAATAAGAATAATAATAAAAGTTAATCTAATGCGTTTCACTAAAATGTAAAGACCCGTTTCACTTAAATTTAGTTACCATTTATATCTCAATTGGGTATAATAAGAAAAATTAAAATTAATGTTTTTTTAGAGTTTTTTTTTGTTTGTTTTCTTGCTATAGGGCACATGCACTAGCTGGAGAGAGAGAAAGCAAGAAATCACCACCCCCAGGGGGGAGGGTCATACCGCGATCTTTTCTCCTCCATTCTTCTCTTGGGATTTTGGACACACATGTACACATGCCTGGCATTGAGTTTCAAGGTACTGGGAACAGGACACAAACCACAGATGACCACATAGGAGTCCAGAGCCTTAAACGCTATGCCACCTGCGGGCTCCACTAATTTTTTTTTTAAGAATTATTTTAATTAACTTTATTTATTATTATTTTCCAGTTTGATCAGAGAGAGACAGAGAAAGAGAGGGGAAGTGAGAAAGCAAGTCCCATGTCTGGGACTTGAACTGCGGTCATCCATGTGGGAGTCCAGTGCCTATAACCACCATGCCACCGGCTAGCTCCTCCCACTACACTTCAAAAAAATTTTTTTGACAAAGAGCACATGTAGTCACCAGACAAAGAAAAACCCAGATGGGTGGGTGGGGAGAAAAAATATTTCCAATGAGGCAAGGACACACCACAATCCTTTCTCCTCCATTTCTCCATCCTGTCAGAATTCTGAGCATGTACAAGCTGACAGGGCTCAGCGTCCAACCGTAGTCAGCCATGTGGGATCAACTCCCCCAACCACAAGGCCTGCCCTATAATGGTAAAATAGGATTTTACCTCTGCCGTTTTAAAATGTAAAAAGCCAATCCACTTAAGTTAAAACTTAAAGTACTACAATGGACAGCTTAAATTATACAGTCGGAATTTTTTCAGTTTGAAAAAACCACCTTCTCCTGATTTAAATACTTTCTATTAATAGTGAAATCTGGCCAAGACTTGAAGAAACTTAATCTTCACTAACAAAATCTGACCTGGGATAATACTGTGACCACTGTAGATAACCACCCCAAGTATGTTGCCTACGATAGATCACAAGATGGTTGTCATTAACTCGCCAATACTTTTTAATTTACA